CATTGCTGTTTCTAACTCACAAAAATACATTTTTATATATTGGTTTGTTAAACAAGTTCTCCTCAGCTATTCTTTCTGGTTCTTTTAGTCTCCTTTCCACAAACTTTCCCACTCTGGGTGTTCTGTGCTGCTGCTTACACATCACTTGCTCATTTGTTGGTAGTTCTGCCATCACGAATTTCCAAACCAACGGTGATGGTACTGTGTTTTGTTCCACCTCAAAACAAATCCCAGTGGCAACACCCTGACATTCATTGCTCAACAGAGCTCTTAATTTTCCACCACCCTTCTCTGGGAGATGAGAATGATCCATGCCTGCACGACTCGCCCTTTAAGTGGGCGACATGCCTCCCAAGCCTTCCTTTATGGATCAAAAACATCAGAAAACTCTAAGAAGTGATAATGTACATCTTTAACGTGCCCCTAATGCAAAATCACTCTTAGGCAAAAAGTATTCCTTCAGCTGTTATTCCAAGTATTTTGCCAGGGTGTTGTTGGGGAGGGTTCTCTCGAGTGAATTCATCTCCATTTAAGCTCAGGACATGCTGTGCTTAAGAATTAAAAAGAAAAGCCTTTCTTAGTCCAACTGCATTTTGTGGCTTATGCTTGTTTTTAGCTGCTAGTCTCCAAGTGTTAATTCAAGAGAATGGTCCTTCCCAAAAGCGTGTAGGAAGGACATGAATAAATGCACACTTGCCGTTTGCAATGCTAAATGGTATTTCCCAAGGAGATGATTTGGTAACAGCACAGGGTCTCAGTTAATTGTCCCTGTCTCCTATAATAAAGCAACTCTTCTAATCTGGAGCGAAGCTCCCAGGTCCATATGAGTAGCCATTCACACTGGTCGTAATTGGGTGGAAGAGGGAGGCAAACGTAACTGTTCAGTTGTGCCATGAGGGCCCCATCCAATTTCACATAATAGCAGCCTGCAGAATCCGAACGACTGAATGTTGGCAAGACTCATTTACATTTTAAATGAACCTGCTGATGCCTTTGGGCAATCTTGATGGTTAATAGCTGTATCAGTAAAACACGCCATTCTTTTCTCTCCTCTAAAACAAATAAACAAATGCATCTAAGGCATCAAAGCATCTCTTCTCTAAGTAGAAGTTTTATCTATAGTATGAGGTCTGCATTTTAAAGGTGTTTGTAGTGCTTTAAAACACCTTTAATGTCCCTGATATAGACAGTGACACTAGAATTTTTTCTTTACTCATTATAAAACTAAAGTAAAACAGCACCACATTAACAAACACAAAAATCCTTCACAAAAATCACAGATTCCTTGTCACGACCTCCATGGAGGACAACTACGTGCTGACATCCTCTTGCAGAAGAAATACAATTCAATGTCACAGCACTTTCCTTAATACCTCAGTAATCCCCAGTGCTGCTTAAAGAAGTAAACTGCACCAGTAATGGGGGGGGACTGACTCTTTAGCAGAAACTTGGTTTCTAAACAGGATCATCGTGAAGGGGATTTGACTACAAATACCCATCAGCTACATCAGTTGAGATGAGCAAGCAAAGCTTTGCATGATAAAACCTTTCAGAGATGCCTTCACCAATTAGTGATTACCCAGACAGGTGGCTTGAAGGTATTTTTGTTTGCTGTTCATCCTCATGCTGCAGTTACCTTTGTAAATTGTGCTCATCCATCTTCCATGTGCCAAATTTCACCAAACAGCCTCTCCACCTCCCAACTCCTGTTTCAAGGGCATGCGTGCTGCTGAGAAGCTGGAGGGCAAATAAGTGTGGAACTGTCTTCTACTTCCTAATGTTTTCCATGGTTATAGCTAAGAAGGACTGGAGAACTGCTGAGTGAAGATAACAGAAAGCTTCATTTTTCTTTTTTTTTATTAATGCAACACTTATAGTAAGCTGTAGAAGAATGCTTTTGTGAATGAACTATATAGATACACATACAGCTTCTTGTAGATATGGATATGGCTACAAATAGGCAGACGATGGAGCTATACATCTTGCAAAATCACCACTGCCTTCAGCTCCCTCAGGAAAGATGCAGACCTAGGTAACATAAAACAGTTACTGGCAGGCTGAATGGTATCAGAGAATGCAGAGGGAATTAAAGAAATGGTGATGATTCCTCTGGGATCTACAAGAGCAACAAAGTAGATCAAAATGAAACCAAGCAAGTGACACAGATCTTCAGACCATTAGGTGCTAAGCAGCAGGACAAGGAAGTTCCATCTTGTCAACCAGTGTAAATGGTTCCTTTGAGGTACTGGGGTCTGAGGCCTGCCCCATTCCTTGTTTCAGCTCTGTGGAAACTTGCTGCTGCAGATGTCTCCCTTCAAGCATCTGAGGATGAAAGATTCTGAAAGATGTTCCCCTGAATTTCTAGTGTTGCACTCATATAACTTTTCTAGCTTTTAGCACTCCAAAAGGCAAATGTCAGCAGAGCATTTTATCCAACAGTCACTGCAGAAGACTGATCTGACATGCTTTTAAATGTGTCCAAAGACCACATACAAGAGAGGGTTCTGCCTTATGGCAGAGACACACCATTGCTGTGTGTTGCTGAGAGGCTTTGGTCAGGCTGCATGACAGGAAACCAAGTGGGAAAATATTGGCTCCAGTTTCACTTGAGCTTCCCACAGCATATGGGTTGAACATTTTAGTAAGTCTTCTGAGCAGATGAGCTAAATGTTTTAGACCACATAAGTGCTGATTAGAGAGGCCTTGTGTGTGTCCCCATGCTAACATGTCAACTCTGCCAAAGCAAGAAACACAAGGTTGCTGTAGTAACAGAATAAAAATGGCAAGAGAGAAATCAGTGAAGGCAAAAGAAAGCCTTTGAAAGAAGAAAACTCAAGTCCAGTTTTGGTTTCTAGTGTTCTGTGGAGATAGGGTGAAAAAGAATGGGAGCTCAGATGCAGGTCTTACAGGCTAAAATTGTTATAGGGCAAAAGATATGTTGCTAAGAAGCAATGACTGACAAAAGCAAGGAGGGAGCTTTACAAGAGAACTGGCTCCACACATTTGGGCAACTTATTTTCCTCAAAAATATATTATTGATTGGAAGTGTCATCATGGGATCCTCAGTGGAAGCCCAGAACACACTAGCCTTGGAAAACAGCTGCAACAAGGGAAGGAAGAAACCATCTGTGTGTTTACACACAGGGCAGCATCAGTCTGCAGTGTGTTTATTAGAAATGGAGGTAACATGTAAAATGAATATCAATTTATAAGATGAAAAGAAAATGATTTGCAAAAACATCGTGTGATATGGGTAACTGTAGCTGGTGCTCTGTGATTTAAGAGACCTTTTTTCACCCCTCTACATCATCTGCAGCGTGCTCTCCCCAAGCAGGGATTGACCCAGGCAAAACCACAGTTTGTTTTTTCCAATTATTGCTGATCTGTAGAAGCTCTAGCACACCCACCCATGGATGTGAGGATGGTATGGCACTGAGATGCAGGCAGGAGCAGTCGTGGGGGTGGATGATGAGAGGACAGAGAACAAGCTGTTACTCACTCACAAACCAGAGTCTTCATGGGGTTTGGTATGAGAAAATAAAATCCTTGAGGAAGTGAAGGAATATTGAAAACAAACACTTTTTTTCTTTGCCCTTATTTTTTACCCTCATAGGACATAAACAAATGAGGGACAAAAGCCCTCCCTGGAATATCAGCTAATGCCAGAAGAAACGCATCAGAAAAGAGTGAGACCTGATGGAACAAACTCAATATTCGATGGAAAATTGTAAATTAACAACGTTCACTCCTGGGATTGCTGTGCTCACTAAGGCAGGAAAATGAAGACAGATTTTCCAAGAGGTTGGGTCAGCACATCTATTGGCAAGCAGTAGGATTCCGAGGCCAAAATAAAGAGCATTTCTTTGGGTCACTGCACTCAGCTGGAGGGAGGCATCTTGTGTCTGCTCCCTTACAATCCACAACCTCATTCCCTGAGGTCTGGAAGATCGGTGTCCATTATCAGAAGGGGTGTTTTCTTTCCCAGTATTTCCTTCCTCTCTCAATTCATTTCTTGATGAGGAAAGTGGAAATTAGAGGACACATTCATCTCAGTGATGTGGAAGGTGCGGAAATGTTCTTAGGAGTAATGTATCACATGCGTTTGTTAGCCTTGCTCTCAACAGCTAAAGCAAAGAGGCTTCCATCACTTTTGCTATAGCAACCACTCCACGTACTTCAGTTAAACTTCATTTAACTTCTTTTTCTCTGATGATATTCAGCAGGATTTGCCCTTCCCATGGTCAAAAAACCTGCAGCAGCCACTCTGAATTCTGCCTGCATGAACAGAAATTGAAGGCTAAGCCAGCCAAGCCGCTTTGACAGTACAAACTGCCTAAATTAAAACATCTGCAATGTCTATACCTAGGCAAATAAATCCAAATTAATTCAATTCCTCTTACAGAGGAAGGTTTGTTTATTCATTACACAGAGCAAAACTGAGAGTCATTTTGTAAAGACCTGGGCTGATGTTGGCCTTCTGACACCGCAACGTGAAACTGACAGCCCATGTTCAGAGCAAGCTACGGAATCTCACTCTTCCATCTTCTGAACAAACAGAGGAGGAAAGAGGGATCAATTTTGAGCTGTGCCTTTCTTTTTGTTGGGAGAGAGATGAGTCACCAAGCAACCTTCCACAGAGTTCATCTTCACCCCTCTTTGGGAGGAGCCTCTCTACGTTTCTGAAGACAATAACTGCACTTGAAGCTTGGACACGTGTTAACTCCTCATTCCCTGCTTGGGTGAGCCCCATGGTCTATCTTCGTTGTCAGTCACTCACAATCAATGGGTGGTCAATGATATCAGCAGGACAGTATCCCCAGTTCTTGATGCCATTAAATTAGGTGCCTATCATCCATATTCTGACTTGATCCTTTGGAGCCATCTTATCTGGGAAAGAGTGTAAAATTTTACCCTGAAGCTGGTGAAACAGCTGCAGAAGAAAAGTTAGTCTTTAGGAAGACTTTAGTCTTTTCTTCTTTAAGAAGAAAAATTAGTCTTTATTTTCTTATAGTTACGAGCTTCTGAGTCTGCTGGCAACTTTCAAGGTACAGACTAAAAGTATTTCTGTTCATTCCCTTATAACCATCCGCATTTGTTTCCTGCTTTGTTGCTAATGAATCTGTTTGTACTATTCCTACATTTGAACTGTCACAAACTTCAAACTGATCCAAATTACTTCACAACAAATGGGGAGAACCCTGGGGAAACCAGGGTAGTTCAGATGCATATCTAACTCCCCAAATCTTTTTCCCCAGTGAAACCTCTCTCCCTTGGAGGGATACAGTGAGTGCATGCAGGCAGCTGGAAATCTAAGTATCGGGCTCTTTGCAGTGTCTAGATTCAGTCTGTTTTACTCTTTTACCTTGTCAGTGCTCCTGCACTGGATTTTACCCATTGGTAAACAGATTTGCCCAGGGCTGCAGATTGCCTTGAAGCCTTTGGCTTCATAATGTTTGTAAAGAGAGTCAGATAAACCAAGGTGGAACTGGGTATACATACACACACAAATCATTCCTACAACTTTGCTCACACCATGAGCATTTTACATGCACAACCCTAGCTGCTGCCGAGATATTGAGATTCAGTGGTCTAAGCAAGCCACTCCAAATGGTACAGAAATCACAGGAGACAGGAATAGTCTGTGCAGACGCTGGTGCAATTTTCTTCCACATGACTTTTCCAGTGCGGAAGGGCTTCTGGTACTCCAGCTCTGGATTCTGAGCAGACACAGTGTCATCTAGAGGAGAAAGTATGGCTGTGCACATTGAGATATAAAGGAAAACATTTTTATGGGAATAAATGTCATGAAAGAAACTGGCACTCCTGCTGATACAAACTGCAGTTTTCCCTCCCTCGTTATCTTTCTGGCTTGTGCTGTGTGTATGTGTTCACGGGGCATGACATGAAGGTCTCTTGAGAAACTCCTTTGTGATAAACCATAAAGAACATCTCACTGATCTGGGTCATTTCTGTCTTTCTATTATCTCCTCCTTATTTCACTTCTCTTGAGCATGACAGGCTAACAATAATTTTTGATACTTCAGTGCCCAGTTTGAAATACTGTAGAAATAGCTTGGATAGTGAATTATTTCTTTGTAATTGGAGACGAGAGCCAGCAGGAAACCTGAAGGAAGATGACTGGCTTGCATTCAGGTTCTCCTTCTAAAGGCCCTACTATTTCCTTGCTTCTACTGTACAGGAAGGAGGCAAGCTGTTATTTCTAGTTGTTAAGCACAATAGGATTTGAAAGAAATGAGTTGAGTTTATATTAATACTCCTGTACTGAAAATGTTGGCATAGTTAACTCAGTTCTACACCTTTTCAAGATGCAATAGATAAACGAAGCATTGATTAGTTCACCGCATGGAAGGTTTTTCAATACTGCTTTAGAATAAAAGAAGTTTGGCATGTCAAGTAGTGCAGAACACTGTGCTGGTGTTGGACAGAGTTTCCCCTCGTGTGTCCCTGCTGTGCAACCTCTTCTGCTGCTGGGGCGTTGATGCAATTTGTCTCCAGGGACAGAAATACTTACTGTATAAGGCACCTAGATAACACTCTGGCATCTATACTTCCTAACAAGACACACTAGGAGAGCATTAAGCATAGTGGTCCTGGGGTTGGCTGCTTGATTGCATGTTAGGATTTCATGCATGTAGGAGGGGGAAGTGAAGAGCAACAATAACACATCTTTACAATACGCACTTTAGTTAAAGGAATCTAAAAGCAGTTCCAGAAAGGCAGGCATGTGGGAGAAGCAGTTCCAAAAAGCCTTGCAGGAGAGTTGAACTGAGTTTGAAGTAAATTCTGCTCTGGTCTTGGAAGATAAGAATCCATGAGCAGGAATAATAACTTTGCATGAGTGACTTCTTCCAGAAGAAGTGCAGCTGTCAAATTCATTTTGAGAGCCTTTCCTCAGACACAGACAGCTGCCTCCAGGGTTTGGAAACAGCATGTTATTTTGTCAGCACTGGATGGGAAAAATAGTGGTTTTTAAAAGCCTCTGCTGAGAATTAGTTGTGTGAACCATGCCCAACGACCAGTGTTAAAGTCTTGGGACACAGTGGAATCACAAGAAACATACAAAGATCACAAGAATTTCACTTGGTTTAAGAACAGCAATGAAGAATGTGGTTCTACTGGTACAAACTAAACCAAAAATAATCTAGGATATCCTTAACACAAACAGCCAGCTTGGGTTACAGCTGCATGAACTCTGTTATGGTCTATGGAAGTTCTCAGAGCCTTCTGTATTCTGGTACATCCATTCATTTTTTTCAGTATCACCTAACTATATAGACACCTCTACCCTTAACATCCACTAATGACTTGAAAGAATAATCATATAATCTTAATTATGCAGGTGATAATTAATAGGCATGTGATAATTAATAACTGAACAATTCTGTGCAGTGGGCAACATACAGCAACTCCAGCAAGCATGGCTGACTTTTTGCTTACCAGCACATTCCTATGACATAGTAGTTCAGAGAAAAGGAGAGACCTGGAAGAGAGAGAGGCACATTTATTCAAATCCCAACCCTCAGAAACCTCTGACTGGGGCAGACATGAGGGCACTTTGGTTGTTATCATGAAGGAGGCAAAATACATATATTTTATAATCAAATATAATAGTGTTCTAGGGTTGGTTTGTTCCCTTGTAAGTATAGCAATTCCGAAATGACTTATTAACAGTAAGCTAATCAGTAGTAGCTTGGACATTATGCTTAGCATATGGGAAAATTCACATTTTGGGGAAGGGAGAAAAGTAGAGAGAAGTCCCATAAAGTCATGTCCTCCACTAACACCGGGCAGGCTGCACATCAAATTCTCTGCTTGTATGCTAATCACACCCATTTATTAAGCGGTAGGAGTTGATTAAACAAAAGTCACTCTGTCTGATGATGGAGGCTGTGCTAAGTTCCAAAGCAGATCAAATTAGATGCTGGATAAGCAGATGCACATATTAACATCAGCCTAACCCTTTCTTTTGTAAAGATCCAGGCAACATCTTTTTGGGTACAGCCCAATCAGCATTTTAATCATGCTCTCACATGAATAGTTCAGCCTTGTCTCTGATACTGCAGGTTTGTGTCTATAGAGCAATAGCTGACCATATAAAAATAAAAATATGAATAAACATATTGCAGGCAGGCACAAAGCTTGATAAGCAAGTTATCCCTTCCAAATCAAACTGGTTAGGACTACATTTTGTGTTGCTGCCTGACTTAGGAGAATTTGGGATCCAAATCTGCTGACCTGGAGATTAGATGTGTTCCACCTCCTGAGTCATCCAAAATCTATGCCTGAGTAAGGAATCAGTGTTGCTCTGCTTCAGAGCGCAATGTTATCAAACCCTGCAGTATCATTTCAGGCCTAAGGTTAAAAATCCTTTTTTGCTATTTCAGATGCTATTAGATAACCCATAAGCATAAGTCATATTTACCAGTGTTTTCTGTATTTTTTGTGACATGCTGAAAATCAGGGAGCCTACTGAAGCCTAAGGAGGCTGCATCTCTTCTGCACCTTTGAAAAGAAAAGGAAGTGTTTCTGGTGCTTTTTTCATAGATGGGCACATCAGTGTTTGGTCCTTGCTTAGCACAGTTTGGTGTGGACTTTCTGATGTGGATTCTCACAAAAAAAATGGATAAAAATCATAGAATCACCAAAGCTGGAAAAGACCTCCAAGATCATCCAGTCCAACCATCCACCTACCACCACCATTTCCCCACTGAAACATGTTCCTTAGTACAACACAATGGAAACACAAAGCAAGAATAGAAAGATATACTTTTGCTAAGACTGTTTGATTATTATTATTTCTGATATAAAAATACCTGTGTGAATTTGTGGTCACCCCCCATTTATGTCGAGTTAGCCAATCTCTAGTAACAGGGCAGTGTTGTGTAGCACTGAGCCCCCATGCAGAGAGAGAGTTTAAAAAAGCAACAAGAAAAAAAAACAAAAAAGAAAAGAAGTTATTGGCATGCCCAAGGAACAAAGAAGGGGGGAAAAAAAAAAAAAAAAAGAGAGCAATTATAAAGCTTTATCATTTCCTTCCTGCAGAAGAAATTCAAATGCACTCTGCCCTATCAGTCTTAGGCAGACAGATGCCTTCAGACTAGAAAGGCTCAATAATATGGCATTATTATTATTACTTCTTTAGAGAGGATAACATTTCAACTATTAAGATCACTTGCTTTGTCTTGGCTCATCGTTAACAACCTACTTTATCATCATCAGTAACCCAAGTAGAAAAGCTCTCACTGGATATAGTAATCAAGAAATGATTTACAGCCGGAGCTGAGCCTGGCTGCCATTATGGGAATCTCCATTGCCTGGTGATGAGAAGCAACTTCCAAGCTGTTCACTCTTTCTCCTTTAAAAGTTGGCTAGGCACAGACCAGCATCACTTCTCCTGTTCATATGCACCTGAATCTCTCATACTGCAAAACAAGCCTGTGTAATGCTTCTAACATGAAACTCTATGAAAATTCAGTCAATGAGTTTCTGTTGCCAGACTGCAAATAGCTGATGCAGTCAGTGATTCTCAACTGCTACCAAAAGCTGGAAAAACATCCTCTGGGAAGCAAAAAGAATGCATCACTGCCCCAGGTCTAAATACCACACAGATTGATCACCAGCCCCTCACACAGCTCAGGTCACTTGGCCATCATGTGCTCATTAAGCAGAGGATGGCAAACTGCTTCTGCTCGGTGAAGATACAGCCAAAGTTTGGAGCCCAACCTTTCATATGGTATTTGTGCACTCTCTGTTTCTATTAGAGCCATACTGGGAAAGTGGCCTTCAGGGGAAATAAAAAAGCTAGTGAAAGCATCCTTCCAAATGAGTGTTTTGTGGTCAAAAGATGTTTGGTCTCTCAAACACAGCATGTGTTTTATTAAGCTGTACCCAAACAAATGTGAACTGCTGTAGTGAATTAGACTGGACAGAAGGAATCAGGTTTTCATACACATTTGCAAGAGAATTCTGAAGACTTTGAATGAAAAGCATCTATGAGAGATAGTTCTACTTCCTGAATTTTGCCAGGCATAATATCTACATGTGTTAATCCTCCAGCAGAAACACTTCTCTGGACAGTAGGCATTAGCAGTATTAGGAAAGAGTAAATCCATCCACGTGGCTCTTGCCAACCACACCTCAACTACATCACAACCTTTGGCCAGCCCCAGAATGATGCCCTTCCCTTGGCAGAGAAAACCAACACGTGCCAAAATAACCTGAAGTTGGGTTTTTTGTTTTGTTTTGTTTTTTGGATTTCAACCTTGGTTTCTACTGCAACTGGAGCAGAATCTGAGACTGAGGTTCCTGATGCACCTTTCATTAGAACGTGAATTTGTCCACTTGTAGTCTGCATTCCTGAGCCAACACACCTTCTACATTCACACCCTCTGAACATTCAGTTCTGCTCTAGACACAGCCCTATAGATTTATGCTTACAAGGATCCCTCGAGATCCTCTAATCCCTTCGCCTGTCCTGGGATACTACTTACTTTCTATGCTTAGAGCAGAAGTCACACAGCTTTCTGGTGTGATGTTCCTGAACACCTTGAAGAGCCTGCTCTAAAAATGAGGAGAAATGGATGCTCTCCACAACATTTTAGTATGACTATCTGTGTTCTGAAATGAACAGAGAGTAGCATCAGCAGCTTCTTTATTTTTATAAAGGTCAGAGAGGGCGTGACAGTGATTTCTATGGAAAGAGAGTGAAAGAGTTTGGGTTACCTCTTGGCATTAGAAGATTATTTGAACCATAACATAATGCAGCTCAAATTCTCCCCATCCTGCAAATGAAGGAAAAATGTTGTTATCTAGTGGTGATTAATAGACCTCTGAAATGCTGTTCCATTAGTCATTGAAGCCAGGGCAGGGACAAGCCACAAAAAGCCCTTAGTGAAATGGCTACAAAATCATTCCCAGGGCTGTTAGAGGAGAGCTGTAGTATGAGCTACTCCATTTGTTCCTGCAAGCCTTTATTTCACACCATCACTAGACAGAAATTTTCTAAAACACTAAACAAAGTCATTGCTCATAATTGCTCATTAGGAGCTGTTACAGCTCTTTGAGTCCAGTCAGCATTTACGAGCCCATCTTTAAACCCTGGCATTAGTAGGTGTATTTATTACATATTAATTAGTGCATGTGCACACTTTTGAGTTTGCTGAGCATCTCTCGCTGAGAATATTTGACTTCTAGAAAAGCTGCTCATCTCAGGCACACAGACATCCCCCAGTAAGCAGATTCCCACCGGGCAAAGCTCATTAATTAATGAGAAAGTCTGAATTAGCGTTTTGAAGCTGGGCATGGAAGTGACCAGCTATGAGCAGATGAATGAAAATTAAACCAGACGGTCTCATAGCAGCAGGACACCACTGCTTGCTCTCCCTGCTGACTTCTTTATTCCCCTGTGAGGATATTCAGCTTCAGCAGAATCTGTCAGGTGTTTATTTATATTGCTCAAAAAACTTCTTGTATGAACAGTGGAGAGGAGAGGGGAATTTGCCAATTCAAGGAAATGACTGTGTCAGAGGTGGCTGGAAAACACTGTCAGCCTGAAGGCTGTTAATCTGGAGACCTCAAGAAGACAGTAAGCTCCTCAAAGGTGCAGTCTTAAAGAGGGTAATGTTATAGAAGTGCTCACAAGGAAGAAATCTTTCTGCTGCAAGGAACATGTGTAGTGTCAATTAAGCTTTTTTAAGGGATAAAAATGAAGGCAGAGTTGACAGCAAAATGGACCTACCACACAGCACCTGAAGCATGGCTTTAGAAAGACGAATGTCCCATGGCAATCAATGGAGAGAAGTTCTGAAGCTCCTCACAGCCACAACTGAGCCTCCTTGCAGTGAAGTTTGTACATATTTCTGAAGTTATGACATATTCTTATGGGTTGACCGCCTCCTCTAATGACTTTTCAGGAGAAGGCAGTGATCACCTTGTTCTTGATTGTAGTCTAGCTTTTATAAAAGGAAAATAAATCTCAGGGGCTTCTCAGGGACTCTTTTCACCTCTCCTCTTTGAATCACAACTTTCATCAACACAGCATTCCAGCCCCACATATCCCTTTGGGCCCATCAGCACACCCACGGCAGTGCAATGAGACTGTTTTGTTTGATTCAGGAAAAAAATAAATAAATCACTGCCATTGACTTAAGAGGTTTCCTCTGTATCAGACTCATTGCTTCTGTTGGGGCAGCACGTTGTACACACTGACAGCAGCATCATGGCTGTATTTTATCTAGGAAAATCTTGTCTCAGACATGAGGGTAATAGCTCAGCCTACAGTTAAGCCTCCCACCAGATTTAACCATTGCCTAATGAGTTTCCAGTTTAAGAAAACAAGACAAAGATATGAAAGAGAACTATATTCATTCTATCAGACAGAATGAGGAAAAAAAAACACACAGCTCACCTGAAAACAATCAGATCTAATATTGGATGGAGGGCAAGTAGTGTCAACTTAGTGTTGTAAATGGGCACTTGGAGAGGCCTGGGATGTCATCTAGTGGCCAGTTAGGTACACTGGGAGCCTGGGGGAGAGGAAGAAGCAGCTTTTCTGGAAAATAACAGCTTCCCTAAACATTGCTTTGGCATCCTACAGGCAGAAGTCTGGAGAGTTCTAGATATTTTTGTCTGTTGTTAAATTCAGCGTACAGATGCCATTAGAGGCTTCTCTCAGAGCCTGATCACTCGCAGCATGAATCCTTTATTGCAGTGCTGAATAAAGCAGAGCTCTTGCTATTCTTGCAGAAGAGAAATAACGTTCCTATTTTACAGTAGAGGCTATAAAGCAGATCTGAGAGTACTTTGGTGCCAAGCTTCACTGGGTGGTTTGGGCTTCTAGGTGCAGAGTACAGAACTCAGATTTCATATGAGCACTTTGCCAGTTTTGGGATCAGATTATTGAAGGAGGTAGGAATCAGGCCAGGCTTCTCTCCATACAAGGAGGACCTCAGAGACGCATGTGAAGTAGAAAGTTTGAGGGAAGCTGGTTGTGAAAGCTGGTCACAGGACTCTGCCAGTCAACCTGGTTGACTTGGGAGGACAGATTTAGCCTCCATTCATTTTTTAAAATGCTGCATAGGCAATTCAAGTTGCCAAGTGTTAAGAAACACTGTAATATTCAGCTGGTGGCTCTGTCTGAGAGGAAAGCGATGAACAACTCTAGTGTTATATTTTGTGAAAACAGAACAGACGCATTCTGAAGGAGCCAAGGCTTATTTTACACTCAAAGTGTTTAAAAATTAGTTCAACTTGAAGTAAATGTTCCAGTCAATTTGTTTTTCTGCTATCTGACCTGCTTTGTTGGTCAAGAGTAATAGAAAAAAAATATATTGACAAAGCTGTATCCACAGAATACAAAGGAAAGCCTGTGCATGGGAAGACTATTACTGATTGCTGCAAGAATGTTTCTCAGAATGGTTTATAAGGCATCAGCAAGTCTTTAATTTAACTGTATGCCATTATTACATGCTGAGTGTGGTTTATTATTATACTAATAAACCATAAAGATGACTCTAACTTCATTACCACAGTCAATTGACATGTACGGTGTTAATTTACCAACAGATCATTAATTACCAGCACTCACCGAAATGCAGACATAAAGCAGAACTATTGGGCAGAGTTTGCTTTCCAGATTCTGCACGGCTGGCAGCAAGCAGGCTGAGTGCACACAGAAATAAATGGGATTGCCAGCAACAAAGATTTTTCTCTCCACCAACGCAACCAGGAAAGAAGTCATAGACCCATCAGTCAACTCCACTGACCTCCTAGTAGTACAGTTAAGATAGTTTTCCAAAAATATCTAAACTTATCCTGACCTGAGCCCTTAAAAATATGGATTTTTCCCATTGCTCAGCAATTTCACAAGTGTAATTGTGCGGGGAACTGCTTTTCTTTTTCCCCCCCCATGGAAGAAAATGGAAAGTATATTCTGTGGCTGAAGTAGTCTGCCTCTGATAATCATAGAATCATTTGGGTTGGAAGGGAACTATAAAGGTTAACTGGTCCAGCTCCCCTGCAGTGAACCCACAACTCCATCAGGTTGCTATCCCTATCCCAGCATCTCAATCTCTTCAACAAAGTGATAAACTGCATTGTCCTGTGGGGGATGCATTTTGTGAAGTTTCCTCAGGGCCTTCTTTGGGCTCTGTAAGGGAGTGCACCGAGTGTAAATACAGATGTATATCATGAACTCCTCTGCCTCAGCAATGTGGTGCTTTGCTCATCAGCAGTAGGCAATTTTAAGTGCTCTAGGGAAGGTGCTGCAGTAGGAAAACACAGTTTAATGCAGAAATTAAAAGATATTTACATCAGCTCAATAAATTAAAATAAGGCATTTAATATGTGAAATGCTGAGAACACCAAAATAGCATAGAAATCACTGATCATGTGAAAGTAACAGGTTTTTTTTTTTTTTTGCCAGATTCACAATGAACCTAAACATTAGAATTTTCTCTAGAGATTAAATTCCAAATTGCTGCATGCTGAATCAGCAGATTTGTCTTAGTTTTGGAGTAAAATGTAATGGCCTTGAAGCTGCATGTAGTGTACAGCTCGCTCTTAACGATGCCATTACAACTGGGAACATTTCCGTGCTTAGAGTCCCTGGAGATACGTAACCCCACTCCTTTCAGATGGGATACACTAAACGTAACAGGAAAAGTTCTTTAAATGCTTATCTAAATTGCTGGCACATTAATTTCCTTTCGCAAAGCTTTTTTTTTGCTCTTTTCTACTCAATGCAGAATTCTGAAAGGTTTTAAAGCGATAAAAAGAATCTCTGCTGCTGTCAAAATGGGATATTCCTTTAGTTACGTGCCCCAGAGGATGAATATGGTGGGAGCTGATACCATAAGACAGACAGGTTAGCAGAACTCTTTGGCTCATACCATTCAGAGATGGCCTTGATTCTTGATCTGGTGAAAGAGCTGATGTCTAACAGGGAGTTTTTGTGGTTCTGATGACAAGGTGCTAATTTAACACCATGGTCAGCTGTACCCTGAAGCATATTTCTAATTAGTAGGAATAAGACAAGGGGAAAATACAAGCAAGGGAGCTCTCAAAAGTTTAAGGGCATTAATTGCCTCCCAGCTGTCAGGCTAGTAATTAAATTCAGCTTGTTGACTTCAGCTTTGTTGCGATTATGTGAAATTAATCTTCAAACACACTGAAAGCTTCCATTACCATTCACTTTGTGCTGAAAGCAGCAAATCCCAAACAATACGCAGAGAGGCATTGGCATGCAGCTGGCGGTCATCCAGCAAAACATGTCAGCTTGGAGAAACGGGATGAAACTTCATTCCCACTTTTGCTTTTGTGCAGTCTGTTCCCTATGCCTGTGTAACTGATGAGGCCACAGCTATGCCTGTCTTGCTGGGAGAGCAAAAACATGCCTGACAATCTTTTGAAGAGGTCACCAAAGTCCAGTTGAAATCCTCCTTCCCCTCCTTATCTCAAAGTGGATTAAGTACGAACGGTTACTCGGAAATCTCAGCTTTCAAAGAACAAATCCTTCCTGCTTGTTAACTTCCGATTAGCACTGTCAGGCTCTCTGTTCCATGCATCACAACCAATTAAAAGCACTTTCTGCCCCAGAAAGCTGGAGCTCAAACTCCCTGCTTGGTATGCAAATGCTCTACCTGACTTGTGCATGTGTGTCAAAAATATATACATCAGTGTAGTCAGGGGAAGCTTTGCTATTAACATCGAGTATGCTAAGCACTTTTTATGTAAGTGAAGCATGCATAAATACATAAATGCATTTTAGATCCTTGCTTTCAGAAAAAAAAGTGTCATTTTTTTCATGAAAATATAAATTGCTTTGAAAGTGCTCTTACTATATTAAGTGATGTTCACTCTTTGGAAGTGATGTGCTGAGGAATAATTGATTGGGTGGACTCCTACATTTAAGCATAATATTTACTCTGCTTGCTGCTTTCACTACTGGGTTTTGATTGGGTCCTTAGAATTACATCAAATTAGTGTGATTTAGGTTTTTCTGCTAAGTATGGATGCCATTTGTTCTTCGAGAAGCAGACAGTCTCAGTGATCAAAACTTGCACAAAGAGTCACCCACTCCCCTGGGTATGAAATGGTCACATAACTCATGGTGTGCAACACCTATGAAGAGAAAATGAACAATGCACTCTGTATGGAGTGGACGAGGAGGAGAAAAAGAGGAGAGAAAGAAAACAATGGTGACTTCTGCTTCTGAATAGAGATTCTCAGCTAACTCTGAACTGGCAACCATGAGCTAGTTACTACATGTGAACCGAATTCCATGGTCTCCTGGGTGCAGTGGCACCCTTAGTTTACCTCATGTAGTTCAGTAATTGAATTAGCCCCAACCTCTATGAATCAACTCCTGACATACTGAGCCCCAGCGTAGCTGCTACAGTGGCTGTTGGATCATTTTTTTTTTTTTGAACCAGACCCTTAGGCTTTATTCCAGAATATTTTTTGTATTTGGTCCTTGCTGTGGCTCAGCTATAACCAGTAGCTGTCAGCCTGCAGTTGTCTGAGGCGAAGAGTCAAATAGTTTAGTACTGAGCACCAGATCTGTTCCCAGTGGATTATCTTCCTCCAGTAGATCTGGCGATCAGTGATCCCTTGTACCTGATTTAATGAAGCTGAATTAAGGAGCAGTTCTGTGGAGGCCACCCTTCCTCATACCATTGGAGCAAGCAGCTAGCAGAAGAACTGGGATGAAGTATTTTGTGGTATTGATTTTCCTACAGCAATACTCAGTGGTGGTTGTGTGGCCACTGTCACATGGCAATGGATTGCATGGCAGTAGAGGAAGTTCAGTGGTCCACGAGGTGTTGTACCTCACAGAAGAGAGTGGGAAGTGGTGTGTTGTGAAAGAGCATCGGGGAGGACTCTGATCTACCTGGGTCTTCTCTTGTCTTACCAGAACTAATGCTAAGGCAAATAGCTCCATGGTCAGGCTAACACCACAGTGCCCTCCTGTCTCTTTGTAGCACCCGATTCTCTAACTAGCCAAAAAGAAGTAAAACTCAGTAATTCCCTCTTCACACTGCATACAAAGATTTGGTAGGTTTGTCAATAGATGTTTGACATCGTCCTGGAGAAGGGCAAGCCCTACTCACTGTGCTTTCTTACAAGAACTACCTTTAGACCTACTATTCTATGTCACACCATACAATCTTTTTTCTTTGCCTCTAACACAGGATACACAGTAAAAAAGATGTTGGTTGACAGAGGGCAGAGTTCAGTTTTCCCGAGCTTGTATTACAAGGAAAAAGTGCAACATGCAGCCATATACTGGACGCAAAGCCTGGCTGCTGAAGTGGCCAAGGGGCAGAACCCCTAAGTTGCTTTTTGAAGTTGTTTGCTTTCCTGGATCTTACCAGATATTGCCTTCTAATCTAAACTTGGAGAAGTCGCAGTACAAACTAAAAAGCACTGGGATATTTTTACCTTTCTGGCAATCCAAAATTCGTACAATCTGAAAATCAGCCACATTGAATTTCAGTGCCTTTGGCTGTATGTCTGGCAGGCATCCATGCAGCCTCAAACTACACGCTTGTGTTATAGCTGAAGGCAGCTCTTGGCCTTGCTGTTTGTCAGCTTCCCCCTCAAGGGAAGAATGACGAGGAATTACTGCCAACGTGTGTAGCATTGCACAACATGATTCTCCATCAGCAGAAAGATCTGGGATGAGCACCTCAGATAAATCTTTTGTGTTTTGTTGACTGCTTCATCCCAAAGCTTAGTTCAGATTTCAAAGGGAAGTGTATAACTTGCTCATATGTTTTTGAAGCAGATTTCTAGCTACCCCTATAGGATAGGGAAAATAATAAACCGCTGGAGCTCTGAGAAATTCAGTCAAAGACTCTGTGTTACAGAAGTTCAGGTGTGCTCATCTGAGTCATTCAGACCTGAATTGTTCAAAGTAAACTTTAGATGTGTGACAGGGTATCTGAACAGCCTCGCTACAGAGACAGAAAGAAAGCCCACATAAGCTACCCTATGAGGATAATTGCAATGAAGATTATGAGGCATTGAGGCGAAGACTGAGAATGCTAGGGGACAACAAGCCACTGTGAAGTTCATTACACTCTAAAGGAAATGCTGGAGTTCCTGGGGCTCATTGTTCCAAGCCCTGCTGAGACCCTGATTAGCAGAGCCTGCCACAGGCATCTGAGTGGTTTATGCTCAACTTCAGAGGTATTGAAGAAAAGACACTACAAACTCAGGGCAGGACCAAACCTTCTGTGGCCAACCCTAGTTTACCCTCAATTCTCATATAATTTGGCTCTGCTGGAAGCCCTCTGATTGATGTAGACGCCACAGAAGTTTCTTTGGGTTTCACATATAAAATCTCTTAACTACACCACAACAAACCCTTTTCATACATTCATCTCATCCAACAGTTGATCCAGCTCTGCTCTCTAACCCACATCCCTAAGTTCCACATCCACCTTTTTTCTTCAGAACTTCCAAGGATTCCTCCACTCAGATACCCTTGGAGATTTCCAGCCCAGCAGAGGAATGCAGCTTAGGGTTTGGGTTCTGAAGAAACCTGGGCTACCCCCACATGGTGGATACACACTTTAACAGAACCCCACTTAATGCACAGCACTTCTCTGCTGGAGCTGTGGGTGCTGCACTGCTGGTATATCCTAGGATCTTCTGGTTGCTGTGCTTGTTAAATACAGCTTTCCACCTGCAAGGCTTTTCCTGCCTTTCTCATTAGGAAGCAGGAGAATCGTTGACCCTAAATTTAACCCTAATCTTAACACTTTAACCCCAATTTCTTTCTCAACTGTTTACTTCAGACTTTTCTATTATTTTTTTGAGCAGCACTGACAGGCTATAGTTCTGGAATAGTGAAATGTCTTGCAACCATGGCAACACAATACACTCTTTGGAAAGTTTGCAGATGCTAAAAGAATCAGTTTACTACAGCCACATATACTAGAGGTTCTGGGAGATTCCTGGGCTCACCATGTTGTTTAAAACACAGAACTATTGACTGATTGGGTAACTTAGCAGAGAATCACTCTGACATGCCACATAGCAATTGCCCACAGAGCACATAGCAGGAACAAGCCCAAAGGAAACTGCTTTTGAAAACCATCGTGGTGAAAAAATTTGGATGCCAGTAAAGTTTATGTTCGCTCTATTCTGTTGTAGGATAGCCTTGCTTCAGATAGAAGCTTTAACTTTGTGGCAATCTCTTTTGATTGGTAAGGAGCAGAAGTCCTGCTGCCAACAACACTAAGCAATTCTTTCCACCACGCAACCTGTTTTCACAGTGTGACCAGATTTCTACTTACTTAAACCAGCAATACCTCTCCTATAAATATCACCCATATGTAAAGCTATAACATGATGGAAAGCACAGCAGTAATAGTTGGGGGACACAAACCAAGGCCACAACAAACAAAGATAAGCCCAAATACATCACCCACAGAAAGAAAGGAGAAGAAATCACTTACTTTTGGAATGCCTCAGAAGATAGGGATCTCCAACAAGATCCTCTCACCTCTACTGCTAACCCTTAAATGAGGTCATTTGGATGTATTGCAAACAGCTGAGCTCCCCTGGGCTGGCCCTGCCTTACCACCAGCTGCTCCATCACTGCTTAAGGCCAGGACTTACAGTTTCTACTAAGCCATAGTTTACCTCTCTTTATGTGATCACTGTCTCCTGAATTTATATCTAATCTTCCTCTTTTTCATCTGTACTATGGCAAATTAAAATTTCCTAAGTGCATGAAAAATGGTAACTGTAATGCATGAACGAAAATTAATAAAGCCAGGAGAGAACATGAAATCAATAATCTAGTCCTGACAGCTTGCTTTGTCTTCGTGGCCAGGCTCTAAGGATGTACCAGTGTTTCCTTCTGTTTAAAATTAATTGAACTATTTTATCATATCAGATAAGAGTGCACTCTTTGTGCTGTTGAAGTGATAATTATGACACGATAATTACAGTCTGTGGCCTGCATGATTCTGTGAATGAGTCAGCAAAGGCAATTAGTTTGCAACAGCAACTTTATGTGGATGTGTCCCTGTAGCAGGGAGCTCCAGGACGCAGCCTGGCTGATTGTTATCTCTGCTCCCCCACCTCCCTTACTCACAGGAGGACAGGGGTTTATTGTTGTCAATAAGGGGGATTTTTGTTGTCCTTCCCATTTTCTCTTTTCCAGTCTAGGAGATTTATTCACAATGCTTGCAGAAATCAGAGACAGAAAAAGACGGAAGCAGTTTCAGCCTGTAAGGCTGTGGATTTGGGGCTCTGCTGTGGAGCCCTTGGAGGAATTCTGCTTGATGCAGAACTGGTGTGGGCACTCCATCTCTGCTGCATTACACTGGGACTCCATTAGAGCTAGTCAGGCTCAGATTTCTCTACATCATCTGTCACTGTAACGTTCTGCTGACAACTCTGTGCTCCTCTAATCTTTATGGAAAGCCTTAAGAATGCCCTGGAAGGAGGGACACAAAATACACGTTAGCAGAGAGAACTATAAGCACCAGGATTGCTTGGTTTCAGCAAGCTGAAAGCAGAAAGATGCTTTATCTCAAGCCATTTACAGCCTCAGCAAGGAAACAAGGTATAGATAGTGATGTATGTACAGACAAAGAAATATTGGAATAATATCAGGAGACACGAGGGAGTGCAGTCTCATGGAACGGCACTTATGTTTGTAGGCAATTCACTTCTAGAGGGAAGATAGGGAAGAAGGGGAGGACTGCTTCATTTCCATGTGTCATTTCCCTCAGTGAGCCTAAATGAAAGAAGAATAATCCTCATCTCAGGAAAAAATCTGTATTGCATTGCAACAGGTAACACACAGGGCAGCATGTTGAAAAAACAGAGAGGAAGCAAAATCTGGAGCAGCTGCTTACTAAGTGAACACCATCCATCCTGTGAGCTGATGAGACAGTGGAAGAAACAGTGTGTGATCATGCAATTAAGGATGATACATAGCAGTATGATCCAAAAGGGCTCATTTAGGCCCACCTTTCCTGATGTTGTTACATTTAATTTTACAACCTTATTTTTCTTTAAATGTGTAATTCTATCTCAGATGCATTATTCTTTTACCTCAATGTTATTTGTAAGCTGGTTCCAAGTTAGGCATGCAAATACGAACGTCCTAAGGTCAGGTCAGATCCAAAGCTGATCCCCAATGGAGCAGATGTATTTTCATTCTTTGGATGCCGTGGGAAATTACTGTCTGTGACACTGCAGAAGAGGTCCATTCCCTCATCCTTGCTCCCTGTAGATGTGATGAGCTACAAGGGGACTGTCAGCAAGAAGGATCTGTATAGGACACGCTGCCTCCTGATAGAATGAACCAGCACACATCAACATGATGCGATTAGGTCTGGATTTGGAGTTCAAGAGATGCTCTGCTTATCTCAGCATAGCTCCTCTGAACTCTGTACAAACTGAGAATGTGATTCAGAGGTTGCCACAGTCCTGTCCCAGACATGGTGGAGACCTGGGAGCCAGAGCAGCATCCTGCAGCACACCAGGTGCAGTTTTATTTATCAGGCTAGTGATTAACCCTGTGCTACCTTTATGTCTGAAGGGTCAAAACCAAACAGTTTGTCAGGTGGCCCCTCTTTATGTGACACCTTACTGAGTCCTGGACGTGTTACCTCTGGTCTAATCCCCAGGCTCAGCCACATAAATAATTCAATGTCACTACTAATATCATTACTGTTTCTTTATTTTCTTCATGTGGATGCAGTACCATTACAGAACTCCTCTTCCCTCTTTTCCTCCCACCATCACATAGGAAAAATCATTGGACATAACAGCCAGACATGTCTTCAACATTTTTCTGTTCACATGCATATCTGGATATAATGATCACTGCCATCTCTGACATTGTTTCTTAACAGGTTGTAACCTGTCAAAGAATCCATAACACCCTGCGTAAAACCCTAAATACCAAAATTCTCCTTTTCTGCCAAAATATCCAGACATATATATACAGGTATATGCATATATATACATATATGAGTACACATATACACAAATATATACATTTCTGCCTTCTCCATTTCTTCCCTTGGACTAAAGAAACGAACTGATAGCACAGCAGAAGCAGAGAAACGTTGACTGGAAGAGACCTCTGGTGGTCAGTAATCCACCTGGAAGAGACCTCTGGTGGTCAGTAATCCACCTGCACGTTTGAAGCAGGAATAGTGCCAGCAAAGCCAGCAGAGAAAGCTCTTACAAAGCACAGGAGATCCCTGCTTGTGTCTTTAAATTATATATGTTCATTTGCTTCATACAGTGAAGCAGGTCTCTGTGTTAGTGAGGAGACCACAGCCCAGAAATGGAGTGCAGTGTCTATCACCAACGAATGCTTTTCTTAGTGTCACAACAGTGCTTAAAGCATGGCAGTACCCAGACATAAAGCAGAATGCCTATAGGCATGTAACAGATAAACTAACACCAGTGGGAAAAAAAATGTTTGATTGTTTGTTTTTTATAAATATGCTGTAGCAGAAGCAGTTCAAATTAAGTCATTTTTCAGGCTGGATATTAGGAAAAAATTATTCTCAGAAAGAGTGGTGATGCAGTGGCACTGCTGCCCAGGGAGGTGTGGGGTCACCATCCCTGGAGGAGTTCCAGATCCGTGGGGATGTGGCACTGAGGGATGTGGACAGTGGGGATGGGCTGGGGTTGGACTCGGTGACCTTAGAGACCTTCTCCAGCCTTAATGATTCTGTGATTCAACGATACTATGATTTTAAGTACGGTCCCTGAGCTGTTGCCTTAAGTTCATCTTACTGAGAAATCTAGCTTTGATCCAAACTCCCCAGCTCCACTGGTTACGAGTGAAAGATAATAGCATGTTGGGCTGTAACGATGCCCTGCATGGGATTGCTGGAGAGCTGGTGACATAACTGCAGATTTCTTTGCCCTCTCTGAACAGCAATTTTCTAAAAACTATTTATCCTACAATGACATCTGGTGGTTGCTTCTCCTTGACAGGGAATTCTTGCAGAATTATCGTTACCCAGCATTGCCCTGAGATAAATCTTCCCAAGGCAGAAGTTTTGCTGCAGTTCTATTTTTGTGCAAATGTTTTAACAAGTTTGAACAACCTTAATGTCTGTAAGCAGCCCCAAGCCCCTCCATGGAACGAGGTGCAGCAGTCAGTTTTCTTACTGGGATAATTTGGTGGACAAGCGTCTGGAAGAGCACCCACATACTGCATCAGGAGGATGTATGGGGTCATAAGGCAGAGCAGCCATGGAGCATTACTGTGTTAAGTGCTTTGAGCTGATCCTATGTCTCTGTTTACTAACTCACAAAGGCTTGTGGCAGGAGCAAGCGTCCCTGATTGCCTCCTCCTAGACAGCCTCTGACCAACCCTAGAAGATGGAAAATGACAACTGACCCTCAGGTATGTTTTCCCTAAAGATGCCCGCACAGGATAACATAGGTGGGCCTGTTGCCCTCTCCCAGGTGCAGTGAGAGCAGCTGCTCAGGTTTTGCCATTAGCCTAATTGGAACCAGAGACCTTGACCCTCTCTGTGCTGCTCAGATCCCCATGACCAGCGTGGACCTGTAGTCCTCAAGTGTTGGTGCAAGTCCTCCTGGCCATCAATAGCATTTTGGAGCTTATAGCTTTCACGGGCTGCCTCCTGGCCACCAGGTGGAACTCGAGCCATGCTCTCTCAAACACAGCTGCTAGTAGCAGATCTGCAAACAAACCGGGACTCCTCTATGGTGGGCTTTGCTTACCTTTGGGGACTGTTCTTATGGACAGACCACATGAAGTAATGGCTATGCTGTTCAGCTGGGGCCAACAGCAGTGTGGATGGAGGAGTGTGAATGAATTTCATAGACTTTAGCTGCTGTTAAAGTATTATGGACAAAGAAAGAGGTGTGCCCTAGCAGCTACTAGTGCCAACCAAATATTGTGTTGCTACAAGTGAAAAAGTTGATAAAATATCATAGAACTGCTGGACTTGGTCTGTAACATTTCAGCTGTAAAGCCAGGATGTATCTGTCCTGGCATGGACTTCCCTCCACTTCTTTGTCTCACCTGATAAAATTGAATATTGGTTTAATCCAACTTCAGATTAAATTCTCTGCTGTGATATCCCCCCATTTGGTCTTCATGGGTACTTCATCAGTTAATTCTGGGAAGTTCTAATTGTCAGTATCGGTAGCTTTTGTTTCCTACAAAACTACTTTTCTGCCGGAAAATTTTATGTGAAATCTGCGCGTTTTTCTTACAGCACACGTTTTCACAAAATCCAAAACAGAATCGCTGGATTTGAGCTTTGTTTGTTTTTCACTTCGGTCATTTAAACATGTGGTGAAATCTGGGGGGGAAAAAAAGCAATCGATACTCCTCAACTTTTCTCCTCCAAATAAACAAATGCCTCACCCAGAGCAGGCTGAGGATGCAAACAGCTGTTGCTGTTTATGCTCTAGGGCTGTGCAGGCTCCCCCCAGAGAAGGTACATGCACAGCAGCTCATGCA